TAGAACTTTTTAAAGCAGAGCTCTCTCTTCTCTTTATTCATCCATTGATGATACATACAAATTTCACACCAGTGTGATTTTCACAGTCTATTAATCTTGGAAAATTCAACATGATCTTAATAGTGTAAATTAAACGATAAATGTAAACTCTCTATTGAATAATTTTGCCTCACAAGGCACTCTCGTAACTATAAACTAAACAGTACCTTTAATTTTTTTTTATTTTTAGTTTAAAATCCTCAATTCATGTGTACTTTTATAGACTTTGCCTACTGAAGAACTTTTATAAAATTCAAACGAATTTGCTTTAAAAATTATACTGGTCATTGTAACAAATAAAAAAATTATACTCCCTCAACTGGCGGTACAATATAATCATACATGCAACGAATCTGAATGATAGAACTTGTATTAAATTGATGGACATAATTTTAATAAAATTACGACTAAATTCATTACCTCAAATGTGGCAGATGTTGGAAAATTATTCTATATGCACAACGGATATGATGAATAATTTCCCATTACAAATGGACTGTTGTCAACCTTATATAGACCTCAGCAACCATTGTTGAACGTGATTCATAGTATACATGAACTGAAGAGTTTGATCGGACCTTATTCTTGATCCACTATAAATCTAATTTGTTAGATTATATGTATATCAATATAAAAAAAAATCAAGGATAAACTTTGTTGTACATACATATATTAACACGCACGTCACGGAACAATCATCACTGTGAATATAATTATTAAGTTGAATCTAAATAGAAGTTGAGACGTTTATGTTTTAGATTTCAGTGAGGATAATAAATGTCAAAGTTTAAAAAAAAATAATGAATAGAGAGTGCGATAGTACTGTATAGGGAATATTTGCATCAGTGCCTTTAATGTAGATATATTTATGAATTAATAAATATATGTTTTTGTCCAAATATCAAAATGGAAAATATGTATTTGGTTACTAGGAATTGTATTCAACAGTCTTTTTTCTTTAAAAGAATATGGGTGGATAGGTTATGAAAATGTCCATGGTTGTATGGGTAAGATATTTACAAATCAAAACACTACCATAGAAATATTTTTGATACGCCAGTGAACATCAGCTCCTATAAGTGTTTAAAGTATATTACAAAATTGAAAGAATGCATCTATAAGATTAAATATCCCCTTGTAACACAGGTTTTTCATTCCCATAACTCTTTTAAAGTGTTTATTTCAGTTTGCTAGTGACTTGAACTGGAGAACAAGACAGGATCATTTTTATTTGAAAATTAACTTGACATAAGGACTTGAGGGGACCTACTTAGTAGCATTAGTAAACACTTTAATAATAATAATAATAATAATAATTAGAAAATTGTTACCATGGCAACAAGAAGGTCTTCCGCTCCGTTTTCCTTTATCAGAAAATTTATCCCAAACTCATAACACAGCTGGTGTTACCGCTGTTGATTCTCACTCATAAAAACACGTTTTACACAATGCATTTCCCGTATATCCTTCATAAATGAAATAAAATAAAATGTAAATAAGAAAATATTGCAAAATTCGAACGGGAAAAAATACCAGACATCATTTCAAAGATAAAATCTTATATTCAAGCTGAAAAAGGTGAGAGAAAAAATTCGGAATTCTGCGTGAAAATCCTACTCGCTAACAATTGCGCCATTGAGACCCCCGCTTCAAAGTGAAAAATGACATATATCTAGATTTTGGGTTTATCAGTTTGAAAATAAATTAAATATTCAGAATTTTGAAAAAAAAGTCTCTATTTACCCTTTTTATATCAAGAAAAATATTGAAAAACAAAAGAATTGAAAAATTTCATTTTTAGCTCACCTGAGCTGAAAGCTCAAGTGAGCTTTTCTGATCACATTTTGTCTGTAGTCCGTCTGTCCGTCTGTCTGTCTGTCCGTCTGTCTGTAAACTTTTCACATTTTCGACTTCTTCTCCAGAACCACTGGGCCAATTTCAACCAAACTTGCCACAATGCATCCTTGGGTAAAGGGGATTCAAGTTTGTTCAAATGAAGGGCCACACCCTCTTTCAAGGGGAGATAATAAAGAATAAGTGAAAAATTAATAGCATCTTTTAAAAATCTTCTTCTCAAGAACAACAGGGCCAGGAAAGATGAAACTCATGTGGAAGCATCCTCAGGTAGTGTAGATTCAATTTTGTTCAAATCATGACCCCCGGGGGTAGGGCGGAGCCACAATGAAGGATCAAAGTTTTACATAGAAATATATAGGAAAAAACCTTTAAAAATCTTCTTCTCAAGAACAGCAAAGCCATGATGAGTCATATTTATATGGAAGCATCCTCAGGTAGTGTAGATTCAAGTTTGTTCAAATCATGACTCCTGGGGGTAGGGTGGGGCCACAATGGAGGATCAAAGTTTTACATAGAAATATATAGGAAAAACCTTTAAAAATCTTCTTCTCAAGAACAGCAAAGCCATGATGAGTCATATTTATATGGAAGCATCCTCAGGTAGTGTAGATTCAATTTTGTTCAAATCATGACCGCCGGGGGTAGGGCGGGGCCACAATGGAGGATCAAAGTTTTACATTGAAATATATAGGAAAAACCTTTAAAAATCTTCTTCTCAAGAACAGCAAAGCCATGATGATTCATATATATGGAAGCATCCTCAGATAGTGTATAGTAGATTCAAGTTTGATCAAATCATGACCCCTGGGGGGGTAATGGGGGATCAAAAGTTTTACATAAGAAATATAGCTATTTTTTCTCAAGAACAGAAAAGCTATGTTTAGTCATATTGATATGAATTATCCTCAGGTAGTGTAGATTCAAGTTTGTTAAAATGATGACCCCTTGGATAGGGAGGAGCCACAATGGGGGATCAAATTTTTACATAGGAATATATGGGAATTTTTTTTTAAAATCTTCTGAAGTACAACAAAGCCATTTGTTATATTGACATGGAAGCATCATCAGGTAGTTTAAAATTCAAGCCCCCTCCCCTCCCCCCCCCCCCCGTAATCTTTTCAAAACTGAACTGATTTGTGCTTTTGCCTAGCCAATGTGCTCAGGTGAGCGATGTGGCCCATGGGCCTCTTGTTTAAACTCGCTTCCGGTAGCGATCAAAAGTACTGATAACGCAAGAAAAGTTGCCTGTGCACATTTAAAAGTCATGTTCTATCATCTCTAACAAGTCCCCAGTTTATACATTTGGCCGTTCTTTAGATCCTTCGTACACAAAATTTCATTTTTAAATCAGGAAATTGTCCGTCACTTGGCACTGGAACCGAATTTTCCAAAAAATGGAATTCTACATAAAATTCATATAAAGACTTTTCATTCCTGAAAATTTCATTGAAATCCACTGAATAGTTTTTGAGAAATCGCCTACACAAAATTTTGTCTAAAAAAAAAGAACAATAATAATAAGAAGAAACAGTATAATTACTTTAAGGTCTTCTTTGAAGACGGAAGACCTTAATAGTAATAAATATTGGAAAAAACTTCCTAGTTTACTTTTAACTGAAGAAAACAGTATTCATCTATATGTTAATCGTAGACTTTTAAGATAAATGTGTCATGTCATTAAGTTTAAAGGAAAAAAAACAGGCAAGAAGAAATTGAGAAAGGTTTATAAACTAAGATAACGAGTTTTGAAAATATTCCGAATGAAACAACAAAAGTTTATGTACATGTATTCAACTAAACTGACTAATCTGATGAGCTATAAAAAGTTATTTAAAGTTATTTTGTTGAAAATGGGCCATGTCCATACTAGATTCATAAATTAATGAAGCAAATCTTATGAAAGATGGTAAAAAAAACTTAAAACATAATTAAAATCAAATAATAAAACAAAGATTGATAAGTTCCTAACTAAATCATTTCATGTGTATTTAAATAGTGTTAGCATTAATTTTTCCTCTTCAGAAAATGACAAAAGTTATTAAACTGATAATCATTTTGCAAAATTTCGTAAACTTCTATAAGAGAGAGTACTTGGAATCAGTTTATTTTAACACTGTCCATCACTTGCAGCGGCATAATCACCCGCTTCACATGCAAAATCATAAGAAATGACAATACAACACCCCCAGGGCTGTAACATTAAAAAGTTTTTTTCCCCTTCAGTATTTCCGCTGTTGCCATTTGTTCATACTACAATCAGGCCAATAGGTAGCAATATTAGTTGGAGTGGTGGGGAGGGGACAACCTTACAAAAATTCTTGACCAGCAGAAAAAGGTCATCAGAAGCATTTTGGAGGAACACAGTCGTAAATTAACTTTCTTTTCTAATGCAGAGCACATACTGCCATTGAGGGAGTACAACTGCATTTAGACTTGTTTTCTACAGTAAAGTAACTATACTGATATGCACCCCCTCCCTGTGATGCCGACCGAATAAAGCTACCCTTACAATTACCAAATTCAAGATCAATAATGTCATGGTTGAAAATTCTTTTTACCTTAATCAGAAGACGAAGCACTTTGTCAGTGATTTCATATCCATGTATGCATATATAATAACGAAGGGTTTAAGCCTCAGTGCTTTAGTTACGAATCAGTGGATTAATGTGAAAGTCTGGCTGCAACACTTTTTGTTCCTTATGGCGTTCCCCTTTAAGCACACAAATTATATACATTACGTGTAGGACGTACTAATCTCCAAGAAAAAATGTACATAAACGGATGAAATTTAAAAGAAAAGGTAAGTGAAAAGTTAGTGATATATTACAAATGCTTTGTTATATCTCATTGCTTTGCTATATCTCATTTCGAATTGAAAGGTTTAAAATAGATGAAAATGATAATTCCCATACATGATAAATATTTCAAATCTAAATGACCATGGCAATTATAGAAATCTTTTAATCTAATGAGATATAAAAAGTTATTTTGTCAAAAATTGACCATGCCAAAATTGCATTAACCAATTAGTGAATTAGTGAAAGATGATTAAGGAATTCCATAAATTATTAAAAGCAATTAATTTAATTGCAGGTTTCTATATTATCCTTGGCGTTAAGTCCTATATACAATGATTATTTTCAAACGTCGGAAAATAGCCTCCATTTTGATAGTTTCACTCCTCTGCCTCATTTCGCTGAAATTCAAATCCTCAATTCTTGACAAATATTTCGGAGTTAGTCTCAGATTCGTGGGAAAAAGTTTAATAGTGCAAAATGTGTCAGCAATTGATAGCAGTTTTCAGAATATCCATTCCACTCCAATGTCTGTAATAAATGTACTCACTACAAAAATCTGGAAGTATTTGCGGGAGCCTCATTCATACAGTCCTTTTCCAGAACCAGTAGATAGGCACTACTCTCAGGCGGGACAGGACATAGCTGTATATAACATATTCCCAAAAAAGAACGGATTTTTCATTGAAATGGGGGCTTATGATGGCAAAGTTCATTCCAATACACTTTGGTTGGAAAGAAAGCATAATTGGACAGGGTTGCTTATAGAAGGGAATCCCGTGTCATGTCCGCTCATAGACCGTGTAAAACGCAACGCCTGGCGCCTGTGTGCATGCGTGGCACATGAAAATGAAACAATATTCATAGAAGAAGAGGAGCTTGGCGGTTCTGAAAAAGACATGGCGAAAAGTCATCTTATTCATTTGAAAGGAAACAAAAGGACCAGAGTACCTTGTTTTCAGCTATTTGACGTATTACAATTAATCGGTGTTTTCCATATTAATTACTTTTCTTTGGATGTAGAGGGCGGAGAAATGGTAGTGCTAAACAGCATGAGAGAACAGTTGATATCTAGACGTATAGTCGTTGACGTTTGGACCATTGAATATCGATCTTGGGCAGGAGAGAGCTTTGACTGGCCTAAAGGAAAGGAACATTTGTTAAATATTCGAGCTTTTTTCAAAGAAATTGGAGGATACGTTGAGCATTCACAATTGGCTTACGAGACACATAATCTAGAAGATGGTTACTATCTGGATGTTGTATTTGTTTATATAGAGACGTGGTGTAAAGGTCATAGTTCACTTCCGGATGGTAAAACAAAGTGTTGATCAGTTCCTAATTAAAACACGTCATGTGTTTCACAACGTTGTTAAGTATTTTACTGTTCTTTAGAAAACATTGTTATTTTCTAGGTTCATCAACTTTTGTAAGAGAAAAGACTTAAATTAAATTTGGTAAGTGTTGTTCATTATCGACAGAGGCTAAATCATAAACATTTTGTGCAAAAAACAATGTACCTTTTTCATAAGAATTAATGGTAAGAAAGCAGTGAAGCAGTAACATATTCAATTTTCTCCAGTATTTTTCTTTTGACTACTTTTCATAGACGCACATTACCAGTTTTGGAATTGATTGTTTAAACTCATTACACCTAAGACTATTTATTTCATTTGAACTCCGATGGATGTTTGTGATTTTACTTCAAGTTGTTATACCTTTTTTTCTTTCAATTTACAAATTCAGAAAATATAATGTTATAGTTGGAAATCCTTTTTTCTGTATACGTCAACTAGCTGTTGCTGTCACTCTAAAGCGCTAGCAAATACTTCCTTTTTTTTACTGGAATACTCATGCTCGAACTCACGGAAGGACATTGTGAAAAAAATACCATGTCAGTTTTGCATTTTGTATCTGAAATTACATATTATCTAAAGTTCCATGCTTTGTATGTAACCTGTACAAAAAGTACCAGCAATTTATGCTCTTTCGTACGTCGACTGTAGAGAGGAACAGTTATTTATAAAATTAATAATAAAAAGTTAGTTTTTCTTAAATACTTTTTGGGTCTTTCTGACAAGTTCGGAAATGCAACATCGACTATGTTATGCAAGATTCATGCCAACCCCCTATTCACTAATGTAAATGGCGAAGATAACGGACAGTGATCAATTTCATCGATCCAATAAACAAAAATTATCGTGAACAGGGTTAAAAACATAGATCCTTGGATTGTATTTACAAAGAAGGTCATTATAACGGTAGAATTAAGTGATTCTTGAGAAGAAGCTGAAAATATTCACATGTTATCACACGACGAAAACATAGAGCAATAAGTCGCCTGAGTGACTCTGGTGACCTAAAAATAAAATCAATCCTAACAATAATCAATACAGATTTGAAGAATAGAATACATGTACTAATTAATATGTGAATAGGGGCCATTTCACAATTTAAAAAAAAGAGACATCCTTGCTCATTATAGCCATGCACTTCATTTGTCCGCTGAATATACGGGGGAAATTAAGAAGCTTTGAAAGAATTTATGCATTTTCAGTAAAATCAAAAGATCCCCTCCCTAACTACTGAACCCCTGACTTTGGGACCATGAGTTTTAACAGTTTTAGTGGGGGGATCAATTCTTATAACTATCATGTAAATAGGCTGATTGCTTGATGTCCAGGAGTAAAGAATATTTTTAAATATTGCATTTATTGTAAAGATTTTAACCGTACCCCAGGCCCCGGGGGGGGGGGGGGGAGGGGGGGGGGACCATGAAATCACTAATTTTGTTCCTTCTCACCCAAAGATGTTATATATGCAAAGAATGGTTAAAATTGGTTCAGCTGTTCTAGAGAAGTCAAAGATGTTCTGATGTTAACAACGGAAACAGACAGCAAAATTCACCTGAGTGACTCATGTGACCTGAAAATAAATACAATTATAACAGTAATCAAATAAAGATGAGAAGTAAAGAATAGTAATTTATAAGTGAAAAAAGAAACTTTATCAATAATGTTTGTTAATACATATTCTTACATATTCAAATGTAAAATTCTGTTACAATTTGTATTTATTTATTGTCAAAAGTGATTTTTGTCACAGTGTGAAAGGATATCAAAGTGATATTTTGTCACAGTGTGACAGAATATCAGAAGTGCGGCAAACTCTCGATTTTTCTTCCCTTCACGAAGAATATTGTAAAAAAAAAAATACTCTCTGGCCTGTATGAAGATAGAGAGAGTAAATAAACCATCCTGGCAGAGACTAAAAATGCCAAAGTTTCTCCAAATTATGTTTACAGTGTTTTCAATTTCACAATCGCTTAGTTATGACGTCTAAACCGCTCAACTATGACGTCAGCCTATGACACTGTGTTACAAAAAGACACAGGCAAAGAGAAAAATCAAAGAAAATGTAATAAACACAAAATTCAATATTTTGTACTTGGATAGGGAATTTATTTCACTTGTGAAACAAGATATTTTTTATATTTCACTTGTGCTTTGCAATCGTGAAAATATAAAACAAAATCCTGTCCAACTTGTGATATAATTTCCATATCCAACCACAAAACGTTGAGTATCAATTATTTACCTCACCAGTGGTAGATCCAGGATTTTTTTCAGGGGTGGAGGGGTCAAAGATCAAATCTGAAATACCTATTTCATGGTGGTGGTGGTGGTGGGGTAGGGGGGATAGAAGATACTTTCTTAAGTGAAATTTCTTCACAACATGACTCTCCTGACATGTTTTCTACTTGGGTTCCAAGGTCATTTGTCTTTACTCTTACAAAACATGACTCTCCTGACATGTTCTCTACTTGGTTTCCAAGGTCATTTGTCTTTACTCTTACAAAGAAGTTTAATAACTCCAAAAAGTCTAGACCCCCTCTAAATATTTTCCTGCTGACAACAAAACACTATATTCAAAGAGTAAATGTGATACGAATTTGTTTCCTCATACTACATTGTGAATAAAATAATAAATGGGGTCTTACTAAAAATATCACAATATGCAATGGTTTTGGTATGACTTTGGAAAACTACCGAACATCTAAAGATGCAGTAGAATATTATTCAATGTTGGGTTTGACTTTTAGGGAGATTGAGTTTGCTTCCGATGAAATTCTTCATATTTAATCCGAACTTGCATTGACAGATCCGGCTGGTCTTTCTTCGAGAAAGCATTTGTCAAAACCATCACCTGATGGAAAATCAAATATGTGTACATGAATACACATGTACAAATTTCGTAAGTCTTAATGAAAAAAACAAAACAAAACAAAACTTTTGTAGCATAATTATTTAGTATTTCAAATGCACAACCGCACTATATTTTTGTTGATTTGTAAATAAAGGAATAAAACAAGGAATGATGAGACAGAAAATGCTGGGAAATGCAACATTAAAATAACCTTAAATACTTAAATTAAAATTATGTTTTGTGATAAATCGGGATAAAGAACAATACAAGACAAGACAAACAAAATCAAATATACACTGTATAGCAGGGCTTATAACCACTGGACTATTATCTTAAGAATTCAAATAAATATAATTATTTATTTTAGATTTAATTTATCAAAATTAAGACGACCTTCCTTTCTTAAAATGTCAATAAAATATATTCATTTCTTTTCTACGCTTTAGACAAACATTCTTCACTATAAATTAAAGAGCAGGCTTTTCAATATCAGACAACTGCTTCCTCCATAAAAAGTTAACTCGTACATTTTCATAACTTGTGATTGGTCATCTACAAAATAACTTGATTAAAAATCTTTCTGATTTTAAATCCAAGTACTCTGAAGTTATTAAAAAGATGCTGGAGTTCCTCATTAAAAATATCTATGTAGCCTTTGGAGATCAGATCTTCCAACATTCTTTGGAATTACAATGGAATTTTTTTTTTTTTTTTGCCTTTATTAGTTGACCTGTTTTTATATCTATGAAGCAGAGTTCATTCAAAAACTTCACGAGAAGAAGAAAACTCTTGCTGTGTCCTACAACTCAACATTAAGATATATTGACGATTTTTTTTTTTTTTTTTTTTTTTTTTTTTTTTTTATAAATTAACAACAGTTACTTCAAATATCCTGGCGAACTCTAAATAAACGACATTACAGAGTCTACCGCATTTATTTCATGTTTGGATGTCGTTAGTGATTTATTATCTATAGGCATATTTTTAAACTATCTGTTGATGAAAATTATGTTAACCAAACGATGAACATTGATTTTAAAGCATACTATCATTTTTCTGTGTTTGTGCTGAAGGGGGGGGGGGGGCAAGTTATTCCCTTGCAAGGCACACATATTTGCAAGTTTTGTAGGCTTCAGTTTGTTCAGTTTGTTTTTTCTTGGGGGGGGGGGGGGTTGTCATATGCCCTTTCATTTAGGTACTCTTTACATAAAATTTGTTTAAAATTCTTTATAAGATTATTTAAATGCAACAGAGTAAGACAACTAATTATATTATATATTAAGATTTTTTAAAATCATTTTAGCAGTATTACTAAACACAAAATTAAATTTAGGCCGAATTAAAATGTATATACTTTATCGAAAAAATATCAACCAATACAGTCGGACAGGGAAAATATGACAATTCTCAATGGAGAAGAGTTCTTTTTACATGCATCCAGATTTTTAGGATAAGTAAAATACCCATTTTTGAAATCTTGATTCATAGTTTATGTGTCCAAATTTCATCAGAGGAAGAGTTCCATTTTTATTGAAAAAGCAGCTCTCCATGGTGACAAAAAGCCTGGGGTCTGTTTAACAAAAGAACTTACGAATAAGACCGAAAACTTAAGTTGATTGTAAAATTGTGCAAAATAAATGATCTTGTTAAAAATTGCTAGCGTAAAATATCTTACTACGTTCCTTTGAAAAAGATTAAAACCATTTTCAATATAATGTAAATTTAAAAGTTACAAGCAGATAGAATTAAGTTTTGGTCTTAGTCGTAAGTTCTTTTGTAAAACGGGCCCCTGGACTTTAATTTATCGCTGGGATTGGTTGTATAAAGTGTTTAAAATTCGTACATTTTGACGAATTATACTTGAACACTGAACATAAACGAACAATACTTGAGCTATTGAGATAAAATACACACAATGTGTATAAATACACTGTATACATGTAAATGTTAAATGAAGTGATAGTCATCAAGGCGCATGACAAAATGGTACAATATCTTTTGATTCGATCTCATTTGATAGCATTCACTCCAACATCATACTCTACATTTATGTTCTTTATATCTGTTGACGGTAGAAAAAACTTGAAGTGTTTTAAAACATCAAAATGCTTGGTTATCTTGGAAAATTTTATTGTTGTAATGGTATAGAACTATCCTTGACTTTTTTCAATGTTTATTTTTTGTTTATCTTATCAAAAAAGAAGCAAAATTAATTTCCTCAAAAAGGTGTTAAATTTTTTAAATTATTTTTTTATTTAAAAAGACAAGTCGGAGTTAACTTTCTTGCAAAAAATTCCAACATTCTTATAAGGGGTGGGATAAAAAAAAAAATCAATGTTTTGCAAAAAATCCTTATATCTAGTAAATAGTTAAGAGGAAGCCCTCTTATTTTTTATTGTTGGGCTTTTATAATTTTACTAAATTAAAAATGTAAATTGTATTCGAAACTTTTATTCATTGTTACATGGAATATGTCTTTTTTATGAATAATCAAAAGAAATACATGTATGTTATTCATTTAAAAACCTTTGGTTCCTGAAAAAATTGTCCTGTTATTATCTATGGTTAATATTTAGGATTATTCAGGTACCTATAAATATCATGTGGTATCCAGAAAAAAAAATTAGGAGTTACAAAACAAGTAAGTATGATCCTCCAGCAAAGTATTCAATTATATATGTGTTTAAAAGTAAGTTTCGTTTCTGTGTTTATTTGGTTCCTTTCCACATTTTTTCACTCATATTGAGATACCACCACTTGCCGTTGAAGAGCTGCAGAAAGACCTGTATTCGGCACTCA